AGAAAAGTACCCCAAAATGCATATTTGTATGTTTTTGACGAACTGATTCGAGTTAGCTATGGCCATCTATTCGTCTGTATGAACGTGGCGTTCTCGGAATCTACAAAAGCTAGACACTTGAACATTGTACATAGATGTTCTCTTATACCATGTGCATAAGCATTCAGGGCTATATTTAAATATGATAAAAGCTAAAATATTCTATTGAAAAAAAGTGCACGAATTTTTGTAGACGAGCATACTTGACTATAGCGCGCTTACTTGCAGTTTCTTATGCAGTTCAAGTGCAACAGTTGCCTTATGGTTGATTTAATGTCAGAAATTACTAATTAATTTTAATTATCAAACATTAATGGAGAGTTCTGCTAGGCGCTTGACAACAGTTGGTTCTTGTTTATTTGGGGTGGGCTGCTAAGTGAAGGGATGAAACTCTTCGCATCCATCATACGATGGTGACATTTGCAACTGTCAAAAGTTTTGTTACTTGTCGCTGAATTTGCACTGATTGACAGAACAAAATGTTGGCGCATATGTTACTCGACGGTTGAAATTAGCAAGGAAATGTTATGCTAATGAGTTATTGTTTCATATTAAATTAAATGCTGGCTTAACTGCATTTGTCTTCGAAATTGTGAACCTTTTGGGTGCATAATAATAAAAATTTTTTTTTTTAAATTTGCAAACAGGAACATCGACATCAGTTGTCATAACAAGTTCGATCCGGACACTGACACCGAAAACGACATGGCACTTTGCAATTTATTCAAGTATTTTGTATAGTTTTAGGACATTTTTGCAGTTGCTGTCCTTGAACTAATAATTACTGTCTTTCAATTAAGGTCCGTATATATTAATGTTCATATTAAATGTGAGAGTTAATTGCTTTTGAGTGCGCAGACCATAGTTAGAATACAATTAAAATTGTTGCATTGCAAACATTTTTTTCGATAATGGTTTAATGTTTTTGCCAACACACATTTGCACACTGAAATCGTTTGCCGCTTGGAGACACTACCCATTACAATTAAACGCATATTTAAGTAGGCAATTTAGTTCGACTTCTCATGCTGTGCGTCTTTATTAATCAATATCCCTTGAGGTTTGGGTTGATTAAATAGGTGCATTAAAGCAGCTGCCATATACACAATACTCACGTCCATTACTTTGTGCGTATGTATACAGTTTTGTAGCCGACTGTAATCAGTAAATCAAATTGTATTTGACTTATGATTACCTTTGATTTGATGCCAACACTCACAGACTTCCCGTTGTTTAATAAATGATGTATAACGTTTTAAAAAATTAGTTTTCTTTTTGAGCTTCCCCATTCGATTAAACTATGTTATGTAATCAATATGAAGCATGTATATAAATGTTGTAACCAATAAAAAATATTTAGTAAACATTAGCAGATAATCTAAAATTGATAGCATAATATAGAAAATACTTTTGTCGCTTGTTTAGAACATTCAGCTGTTTATTTTATGATGATAATTGTTCATTTGTGCGAAAAAGGATCACAGTCGTCTGTAAATAATATGAATTACTTCTATATACAGTAATAAATGCTACAATGGTAATGCCTACGTTAAAGTGCATGATATGATCTGCGAAAGTGGAGAGTTCCAGCGCTGAGCTGCTCTAAGGTCGTAGCCATCCATGTCGGGCTGCTGTCATGGCAGCTGCTTGTTTGTCTGCATTTCGGTGACATTTTTGCCATTAGCCAAATGTCAATGCTCAACGCCAAGTGGTAAGAAGCACTTATAATAGATGAGATTTACAATTGTCGTCAACAACAGCAAGAACAACGAAAGTGAAACCAGACAGAAGCGCAACTTGGGCGAGAAGCAGGCCGAAGCAGCCTGTCGGCTGTCAGCTACCGGTTGCTGATTCTTAGGGGTGCGCTTAGCACCTCATGTTTGGATTGTGGAGAAGGTTGCGCGATAAAAGAATGACACTAAAGCAGTTTGGTTGCTGCCTTAGGGTAACTACTGGTGCATCCGTCTGGTCGTAGCCCATTCTTGTTGTTCTTATTGCCTTGCGGCACCTAACAAAGTCTTTCTCAAGATAATTTGAATAATTTGACTGACCCAGGCCAATCACCCATACTCTTGGTAGCCATGGTAGCTAAAATCATCATTCCTAAGTACTCTGATACCTGCTGCTGACAAATGGTTTTAAAACCACCTGTCCAGCAAGTTGCATTTTTTGCAGCTTTTTGTTGCCAAATTTCACGTTGGCACTTCGTTGCGTTACATTTAAAATTAACAGATAACTGGGGTACGCATATCTTACACTGGCCAGTGCAATGCGGTGTATGCATAACCACGATGAAAACCTGTCCTGACGGTAGACAGCATGACGGCTTATTATCACGCAATGATGGCACTTTTCACGGTTTGTAACACACGCGTGGCACAAACTGGAAAGGAAAGAGGGTCCACGGCTGCTGCACTTGTCGCGTGATGGATTAAACGGCTCTTAAGCTGCAGCTGAGCGATAAGCGGCGCTCATGGCCTGCTATTTTTGAGCTGCCACAGCTAACTCAGTTAAATCACTTGGCTGACACACCTCAGTTAGCGAAAATAGGCAATGAAAGTCGTTTTCAAATTGAAATGTAATTTTACCAGGCTGAATATGGGCTAGCAACAGACAGAACAGCCTTTCAAAATTCACGTATGCTTAGAATTGTAAGCATTTAGGGGAAAGTTAATTTAAATAAGCCAACGTTGAAATACTTATTTATTAAATTCTTACTGTGTTCAAAATTAATTTTGTTCCTTTTGTTTTTATTTTTTAGTTAACTACACTCAAATTAAAATGGAAATGAAGCAATAACAATATATATGGTAAGTAGTAGTTAAAGTTATTTTAATTAAACTGTACCATCTCTACAACGAATCATGCTTGTTTTACTTATATGGATCTTAACAGCTTTCCCTTTTGGAATACCATCTGCACACGTTCAAATGAAATACAAGTGGCATACACATTTATACCCACAAACTATATAGTAGCATAAACAAACACGCATAACATTCTGCTAATAATGCCTCTGACCATTTATGAAACGAAGATTTGCAAAAGGAATTAAGTCGAAGGTTTGCAGAACGGCTACTCGATAGGACGTATGGTAATACGTTACTTTATGCTAAACGTACATACATATGTACCACATATACAAATATACATATTTATTTATATGGTATGTCTACTGACACAAGCGCGCATATCAACTCATAAAAGCAAATCAGCAAATCGGATTTAATGGTCAAGTGTTTGTGGGTGGGTGGCGATTATGCAAAGCTCATGCTTCCTTTTTATAGCTGGGTTGTTTATGCAATTTATGAAACAATTGTTTGTTTGCATATGTGTGTGCTACTTTATAGAGATATGCATATATAAGCGCGTAACAGCACCCCCTATGGCCTCAGCACCCTCGTTGTTTGGTATGCGTTCAAATGAAGATGTTTAATACATTTTGTGACCGCCGGCATTTGGCGCTCGCTGTTGCATGTGGATGCGTTTGATTGGTTTTAAATTACATTTTTGGGCACCAGTTCTTGATTTATTGAGTTGCTATGGAAAATTACTTGCTATCTAGCTATGGGCCCTCTAAAATGTTCATATGCATAATGCCAAACTTTTGGGGGTGTTTTGGAAAATGCCTCAAAACAAAAACCAGAGCAAAAGAATTGCTATGTATAACATTCAAATTGTTTATTGGACTGATTAATTTGCATTCCGAATAAATATTTGAACACAGCCCAAATATTCCAAATATTTAGTTAATAAGAGACATGTTTTAAATCCATTTTAAATGGTACTGTGCTCCTAACTACATGTATTCATGAACTACTAACTTTCATCACTTTAATATTTTGAGAGGCGTGTGCTTGCCTTTATTTAAACTTTCATTTCATTTTTTTTTAGCTGGTAATATTTTGTAGCAACAATTTCAGTAATTTCATTATTGCGACATTACATTAGCATTTCCAAATTACACAACCGTCCGGGCCGGAGCACAAATTTCCAGTCCCTTTACTGCGCCGCCCCGGTGGAACAAAGTTTGTGCAGCTGCACATCCGTTTTGATGATGCTGGCAGCGGCCTAGAGGCATAAGTAAAATCAAGAAAGATGCACAGCGCAGACCCAAACACAAACCAAACCGAAAGATAAACATTTGCCACAATACCCGGCAGTGGCCATCAATGGCAGACGCTTTGAATAGCAATGCCAATGGCAAACGGGAGTCCATGACAATCATCGATGAATTGGACGACAAAGTTTGCAACTGGTCGCGGACGCGAACTCGAACTCGAGCGCGGACTTCAACTCCGATTTCAGCTAGAAGTCCAGCTCCTGTTTTATGCTTGTCTCAGCTGCTAGTGGTGTTTGGGTTCTGCGTACATAGTTCACTACAGTTGGAAAATTACTTATTTTTCAATTGTTGTTCCTCTCCGAATGACATTTAGCATTGTTGTAGCCACCGCTGCCATGCAATCTTGATTACTGTCAGTCGCAGCAGTTGTATTTAAAATTGGCTAACAAGTTGTATAGCATTTGCCATAAGATATGACATGGTGCAGTGCCATTGACGCTCCTTTTTCTGCTTTTAACTTTTCATTTGGTTTTCCAGCCTCGATGCCGCTCCATGCCACCCTCCCTCGTCTGTTGCTCTCGGTCCGAATCACTGTGACTCTTTTCATATCAGCGTAATTCTTAATGATCTGTCGAAGCGGCACCTCCTACCATAACTCCATTCGCTCTACCAGGACTCACTTTATTGAATTTATTTGCCATATTTTTGTTTGTTTGTTTTTCTTTCATTTATTGCCCGTCATTTGTGATAATATTTTTGTTGTAGTTTTTTTTTATACCTTTCATGCTACAGCGGGTAAGGATATATTAATTAATATTTTTTTTATTCAAAATGAAAATGAAAATACAGAATACAAAAAAAATACTATTAAGTTAGGCAACTTAAAAATGTTTACGTAGCACTTTTGACAACGAATTTTATAGTTGATCATTTTCAGTTTTACCCTATTTAAGTGTGTATTTGAAGATAATTTTGTGTTTGATTCTGGCACTGTGTTCGTCATTTGTCCGGCAATAATTTGTTTTTCATTGCATATTGTTTCAATTGTTCAGCCTGCGGTCATTGATAGCGACACTTGTAAAAAATTTGTAATTTCTTTCATGGATATTTAATGGATTAATTTTATATAAAGCCATTCACTGTCTGTGGTAATCAGGGCCTGACAAAATGACCCACAACGTAAACTGATTTGAAGTTCCGTATGGCAAACACGAATGGGTGATCCGCTGTAAAAACTTTGCGCTCCGGATTTGAGGTCTCAGTAGAGGTTTCAGCAGCTGAAAGGAAAAAACATGCAAACTTGATCCTCCCAATAATGCACTTCTGCTTACGTGTGTTAGCATCTATTTCACAGCCAGCTTCGTTCACATTTAAATATAGTTTTTGCCTTGCCTCAGTGATCAACTGGGGCGACTTCTTAGCAAACAGTCCACTTAAGTCAGCGGCGCTTTTCTCAAAGATACGCTTTATTCCCAACTGTTACGATTTATAGATTAATATCTTCTTGTGCATCAAGATGTGCAATGGATTTACTTTTTTTAGCGGTACTTTCAGATCAATGTCGCATTCGAATTTGAATCTGGGCACGGTTATATCAACATCATGCATCACCGACTTGAGGGCCACTTCGTTAAGGTCAATCTCTCCTAGCTTTGATTCTAGCTCTGCAAGACCCATAGTTTCGTCAGGTAAAATCAATAACATATTTACATCTGATTCATCGAAGGGCAGCTGCAGAATACGCGATTTTAGCTTTCTGGATTCGCCATAGCGAAACTGTCCGGCCTGAACATAAGAAAAAATATATCACAGTTGGAATTAATTTATATCATATAAGAGATGATTTTTTACACATAGTGAAGCGTTAGTGGTATGAGACTTACCTGTCGCATCATGGGTAACTGCATTTTCTGTTCTTCGCTTATCGCGAAATCACCCAATGAAGTGCGTTCTACAGAAAATTGCTTGGTCCACTTGGCTCGAAAGTACAAAGAGTTGACCAAAATAACGTTCGATTCCACGTTGAAAGATGCAGGAGTAAGCAAATCGCGTACCGTATTAAAGGTTTGCCGCTCAAGCCATTTATTGACTTGTCGCATAGCACCTTCGGCATCTGCAAAATTTAACGAATCTGCCTGAGTATTGAAGAATTCCCCAGCCTGCAGATTGAAATCGGGACGCAGTTCCTGATCCTGCTTAACATACAAACCAGTGGCTATACGCATCGACACTCCCTTGTCGCTGCACACGCAATCTTTACTTATGAATTCGGCATGTTGCTTGGCAATTTCCAGTTTCTTAGCGAATCCTAGTATCAGTCCAGAACGCAATTCGTCGGCGCATTTTCCGCCGGCACCCATAAACACTAAAGTCATGGCACTGCGCGCAGCTGTTGGTGATATGATTAAATTGTTGACCCTTACCTCCTCCTCCTCGTTAAGAGCACGGAAAAAGTTTCGCGCAAAGAAAATTTGACTGAGACTTGGAGGCGGTATAATGGTGCCCCCAGATGCCATATTGATAGGATAAAACGAATCAGACGAAGTGAATTGTTTAAGAAGTGTTTACTAAATAAATATGCGTAGTTTGTCAGTAAGTAAAATAGAGAGGCTTACGTTGTTTACTAAACATGTTTCTTTTCAATTGTCAGCTTCGAGCAGATGGGTACTGAATTACTTTAAAAATAATCTTCATACCGGTTTAAATTTTGTATATGAATTTATTTAATTTACATTATAATCACTGTATAAAATAATTTGAATAGCTCTAATTCATCAGCATACGAAATTACTCGATATGTGCATATATATGTATGTCTGTTCTGTGTGACTATGATGTTATTATTGTTATGCAGCTACTGCCATTGTTTTTGCTTTTCGGCTTGCATTACTGCCAATTTTTGCGTTGACTACAATATATTTGCATAGCTGCTGCTGCTGGTGCTGGTACTGGTGTTGCTGGAGCTGCGTTATTATTTGCATGTCACTACAGTAAGTCAAATAACAAAGGGTCTCTGGTCTTTGGCCCCCAATGCCGTCTTAGTTGCTCAGTTGCAGCCTGTGCGCCATTTTGTTTTCTCTCTCAATACCGAATCAAATCCGAGACCACCCTTTTGGCCTGAGTGGCCTTTGTATGCTTAACTGTGTATTCACCTGTCGCTCTTAACAGATGTCTACACATTTAAGTTGACAGGGGTAGGGGACTACCCAGTGCCATTACATATAGTCGGCTGCAGTTATGCGTCGTTTCGCGCATATTTTGCGCCTGATTGCGCCGCTTATGCGCCCAATGGATTTGAATTCATATTTCAATTTCATTTGGAACACCTTTTAATGTCACACACGGACTCATACTATGGCACACACACAAAGGCCGATGCATCATGCGTTTGTTCATGCACTTGGTTGGTGCAAATGAACATGAATTTTACGATTGAGTGATCCGTTTAAGTAGAATTCGTTTATCGTTCAAATTAATTGATTTGAAAAAACAAGGAGTCTCTGAATAATGAGTGTGTTTTCAACTTGATTGTCTTACACCGAAGGTAAAAACTCCTGGTTGAAATTTCGAATTAATATTGAATTATGAAAATGCCATAGGGCAGACCTAAGAACTTTTAAGCTCTAAGAGGCAGTATTAGAATATCAATAGTAGTCTTTCGTATGCGGCATCAATATTAAAATTCGCACTAATTGTGTTTTAATGAAGTGCCTCAAGGTATACTACACAAATATGCGCGACAGTACAGAAGACGACCGGATATCCGTAAAATGTCGGTGTATATTGTGCTTATGCAGCTTAGACGTGAACAAAATGAAACAATTTTAAATTGACACTGGAAGTGAGTGCTGGAGCAGTTGCATCTCACTGACAAATTTCTTTGGTGCCCAAAGCTATCATTTTCGATTGTGAAAGTTTCTATGTGCTGCGGTTATCCCGCATACGAAACGCAAACCCAAACCTCATGTCGAACCACCACGCAGCTACTACCACTTCCGCCAGCATATTCAGCGAGTTGTGCAGATTCGGAGGAAACTTGTTTGCGGTTTCCCTAACTTGAAGATATTATATGGCCCACACGGCTTCGTATTTGAGTTTGAGTTGGGGCAGAAGCTGAACCGCAATAAATATGAAATTTAGATGAAATTTTCTGAATGTGATACAATAGCAAGCAAATTGCATAGAATTTACTTTGCAATCGTTTTTGGGGTTTTCAAATAAGCCTCTTCGCAATTTGTTTGATGCCAAACGATATGGTAATTTAATTCCATAGTTTTCAACCTTTTCACAAATTTGCAAATGTATTAGCAACAAAAAATAATTCAATTCTTCAATAACCCTCCAGCTAGCTCTTCTGACAATTGGTGGTACGCTACTCACTATCCGCCATTTCCGGCAACTATTATCTGATGGAGTTTGTGTTGCATCCGCATTTTATTTTCTCTGTATGCTATGTTATTGTGCAAGCTGACTTTGTCCATTTAATTTGCGGCCTGTTTGAAACACGACATCAAATAGCAAAGCGACAAACATAGAATGACAAATGGCAAATGTCGCAGCATAATTGTTATTAAGTGTCTCAAACACATTGTCAAGCATACGTAACGTTGGCCGCAGTCGCAAGATGAAACTGTAGTTTCAGCTGAAGACAATCGGGACTCAATAATTAATTGTTTGCCACACTTGTGTAATATATTTTGCATCTGCAATTAGTCGATTGCTGCTACACGCACGCACTTATTTATTTATTAATTAAATCATTCATTGTTCAATCAGACCTGTGAGAATTGTTGCAGCTGCCTTAGATGTTTTCCCAGCTCGTGTGCAGACAGCATCAGGTATGTGAGAAGTATGGCTGGAACTAATCAATGAAAACAACTCTCTGAGCTTCTGTCAGACGCATTCATCATTTAATTAGTTTCCTTTTCCACAGAGCGAGAACTGTCTGATTTGCGGTAAATGATTTCAATAAATTAGTGTAGCTTCGCAAAATCGTAGTATAGCACATCACTTTTGGATTGGGAGACCTTCCTCTACTTCAACTACAGTAATCTGAATCAATTGATTATTTTCCGGCATGTTGCCATTTCTATTGCAGTCTGTTTTGCCATATATTTTTTAAGTTTTTTGTATCGAGATAAAATTGTTTGTATTTGTTTAGGCTTATGGCCAAGACGATAAAACCGTCTCAAGCGTAGACAAATGCCAAGAGTAAACCAAGAAAATTTGTAAATATAATATAATGAATTTGGCATACTCTCACTTCAAATGCCTATATATTTTGCACACAAATTAAAATAAATCAAGAAATTAAAATAAATCACAAATAAAAATAAGAATCAAGAATGTTCACAATTTAAACGAACGTTTAATTCATGTATTAAAATTGTATATGAGCTACTTTTTAACTACATTACAGTTTAAAATATTATAGGGGATTTCATTTTTACGTAACGAAATTGTTATTTAAGTATGTTCAATGATCAGCAAGTGTATCCAAACAATGAAGGAAGAAACAATAAAAATGCGATTTTATGTCTATGACAGGGCTGAGTAGGTAAACACACACATGAACCAAAGAGAGATAAATAGTCGAGAGTGGACAGCACTCTAGAAACGCTAGACATTGGCTAAATTTAAACAGAACAGTCACACAGAACACAGCACACACCACCAATGCACACACCACCAATGCACACACACACAGACAGGCACATATATACGTCAAGTGAAATCCGAAGAGCTGAATTTTCTGTGCCTTTCTTCGATCTGATTTTTCATTTCCGCTGCAAATGGTGACAAAGTTAGAGAAGGAGGACTTGAAATAGTATGTGTGCTTTACTATTTGTATTTTGTGTGTTGATTTCTTGTGAAATATCAATACATGAAGGAGCAAGGCAAACACACGTGTACACAGAATTGATGCGACAATTTACCTCAGAGTCCACTTGAGAGCTCAAGTTCGACTTGTGTTGCTTGTCCTTGGGTTTGCAATCGCTCGTTTGCAGCAAATTTAAACAAACTCCGAAAACGAATTTGTTGGCCTGAGAGAAGGGCGACAACAGCCAAGTGTAGCCGCAGCTATTTGGTCAACAGTGTCAATGACAATCATTAACACAAATCAATGGGATTAACAATATTCTGTGTCTCACACATCGGACTGTCAACATTCGCAGCACAAACGCAGTTAATGGCATTGTTCAACTTTATGTCGAAACCAACGTAAATATCCACAGCATTGCAACCACAGAAACACGTGCACATACACCAACACATACATACGTACGTAAAGAGTCAATACAATTCAACATGACAGACGCAGACCTAATCCGAATGTAGTGCAAAGTAAAATGAATGCATGACCAAAAAAGAGAGTTGGTACCCAGCAAACGCCATGTCCAGAAATGGTTAGCACTTAATTTCCTATTTGTGCCTTATGGATCTAAAGTCTCTGCCACGGACATGTAACCGTGTTTTGCATGTGCTTTTTAGTAGTTATCGTAGCTTCTTCAAAGGGCTCGGACTTCGGGAGAGATATTGGTGTATGTATTTAAAAACTGTAATTAATTTTCAGTTATTGGCAGCTGATTGGTAAACTTTCAAATTGCCAAAGCCAGTATTGAAAGGACGTCGGCATACACTATGGAAAGTAGACAAGCGTAAAATAAGAAAGATGGTCGTCCGTTTCTAAAATCTTTAATGCTGAGTGCAATGACTGATTTTGCCCCATAATTTGCTGCACCACATCTTAGACTTGTTTTGAATTTTAATTGTGGCAACCACACACCGTTATTGTAAGCTTACTTGTACAAGAACTAGGAGACTAGAATTGACTAATTGGTAATGACTACAGAATTGCAGGCAACAGCGTTCATAACTTTGTCAAAGTCTAAAATGTTAGTTAAAAACTGGAATACCGACAACACGCAATTTAAAAAGTTGTTGCCAAGAGACTTTTCCACTTACAAATGATGGCGAACACGCCGTTCCCAACCTTTGCCGTGCACGCATGGCTGCCTCGTTTAATTTTGTTGTCAACTGTTGCGCCCGGTTCATGGCATTAACTACTCTATACCAATACGAAACCAAAGTCAAAAGCCGTGTGCTCTGCGTAGCATAATTCTCTGGAAATGTTAAAACATGTGCGAAACTTTTGCACCGAAATTCGTTAACTGTCAAAATGTTGTGTCGAGTGTAAAGCAAATCAGGTAAAATGCCACAACATTTTGCAGATTGTAAGTGGGGCGATTGTGTGTGGACAGGTGTTGGCATGCTTTTAACTTTTCAACTGTATATTGCATAGTGTAAACTGTAAATTGTAGATTGTAAACAGTAAATTGTAAATTGTTTGTGTTTTAATATGTTCTTTTTTTTTGTGTTCGTGTTCATTCACTCGCTGGGCATTAAGTAACTATTGATTGTCATGGAAACGGCAATGCCAGCATTGGCGCGTAATAAAGGGTGGAGGGGAGGGGGGGGGGGGGGTGGTTTAGTGCAGTGGGCACCTCAAATGGGGCAGTACTGTTCTTGTGTGCCACATAATTGATTTGTCCAAAGCGAAGCTATTCGCAGCGCGTTTTCCATTGGCAAACCATCATTAGCA